ATTATATGTGTCATTCAGCCCTTTTAAGAAGCATATCACATGTTCTATTTCTCTGTACTTCAGAGAAATCTTTGAAAGTTCACAGCTACAAGGAATCTCACAGGTACAAGTGGGTATAGGTCTAAGGGATTCTAATTCTTTCTAAAGAATTTTTAAATCTGTGAAGAATTGGCTAACGCCTCTCTCCCCCTGTTTAATTGAATGGATATCTTGGAGCAAATAAGAAATTTTAAAATAATCACCTTTAGAGAATATTTCTTTCAATTTTTCCCATAGTTCTTTTGCTTCTTCAACATATATTACACTTTCTACAATCTCTGGAGAAAGATTTTTTATCATCCAGGAAAGAACCATCATATTACATCTCTCTCAAGCATCGAATAAAACCTCACTCTTTGAGGTTTCTTGATTGACCCATCAATAAACTTGATTTTATTCTTGGAAAGAAGATCCCTCCTCATGCTTCTGCTCCAAGAAGAGTAATTGTTGTCATTTAGAACTTGAGAGATGAGAGTGAGTCTTGGATTCTCCCCAGGATGTAGGTAGAAAGGGCTGGTAGGATTAACAGATTGATCCATGTGCTCCATATCAGTAGGAAACAATTCAAGAAGAAAACAAGAAACAGTCCAAGAATTGTTGCTAGACTTGAAAACAGAGGCAGTAGAAGCAGAGTAGGTTTCTGCTCTGATACAATATTAAAATATGGCCCAATGCATATCTGAGGGTTGGACGACCCAATTGGATTGGAGGCCCGTAAGAGAGATGAAATATCACTTAAGCAAGATAGCTTACAAAGAAGTAGTCTTCGTCCTAGACAGCAGAGAGAGAAAGAGCCTAGGGCTCTGCCAGGCGCTAGAGAGAGAAGTGGAATAACACCTTCCAAAACGATGCAGCCATGGACGTTTGGCGAAAGGAAAATACGCTCAGCACAGAGGCTTCGTTGGAGGTAAGAAAAATACACACTTGCTATATTCTCTGTAATAGTATCTGTTCTTTATGTCTTTGTTATAACTAAAATGAAATGGGGAGAACTCTATTTATAGAGTTCTTGGGGAAAAACGGGAACCACTAATTACCACTAATTAAACGAACCAATTACTGTCTTCAGACAGTAATTTGTCCGTTTGAGGTAAGCTCAATATGTTGCCTTCACAATTTCTTTTTGAAACCATGCCATGAAAATTTTGTTATGCTTCATCAACACTTATTTCTCTGATTGTCTTGATCTTTTTATCTTTCGTATGATTTTTTTTTAACAAATGCCATTGGTCTTTAATCTGATTTCTCCTACAAAAAAAGCAACCAAATGCACCATGATTTCAAAATAATAGGATTTTTTGAACGATGTTGATTTTTCTCATATGCCTTCAAAATCTTCATATATCGTTCCATTGGGTACATCTATTGTAGATAAATTGACCCACACAATCTGATTTCTCCTACAAAAAAAAGCAACCAAATGCACCATGATATCAAAACAAAAAATGGAGGAAAAAAAAATCTCTAGTTGACACATGATAATAACAATCTCTTCTTGAAGTTCATACAACTTTTGAAGGTCAATAACTTTGTTACATATCTAATTGAAAAATGAACACAATTGGGTTATAGTAAGCCTCACCATTGTTTTGGCAAGATTCCACGTATAGTCATAGACAATAATTGTTACATTAAAACATGACAATCATAAGACTTTAAGCCAATTAGTTTCAAATCTTGCATAGATACAATACTCTTGTGGTACCTTAACTACTTTAAGACACTAACAAAAATTTGTTCTCTTCTTTTGAGACAAAGTGTAATATGTTGCAAGCAAATATGTTTGCTCACCAATTCCTTTTGGTGCTAATTTCTTTTAGTGCTAATTTCTTTCGTACATTCTCAAACATATTAAAATGAGCATTGACATCACCCTTCATCTTTCCTTTTATATTTAGAAATGTTGTAATTAAATTATCGCACACATGCTTTTCAACATAATTGTACTTATATAGTGTCTCATAACCAAACAATTCACACAAGAACACTGCATTCTTACTCCATTTTCTACACTACCAACATTATACCGAGTGAATTATATAAATTTTTTCACTCCTCTCTCGTAATCATAATTTATATGTGGTTAATTAATCCAACTCCAATCCATATCTATGTTTTGTAGATACGTGATTGAAATTAGTTTTCTATCAATACATACAAAGCTCACTTTTCTTTTATCAAATGTATAACTTTATCCTATTCGAGAATATTCACTTTTATTATAGTTGTATAGTACATAAATCGTAATCGTCATCCCTTATATTTTACAAAATTTTGACAGCATTTTGCATTAGTCTTTTGATGACACGAAATGAAAATGATGACACAAAATCTTTACAATCAAATATGCATTCAAACATCAACACAAAGTGCAATAAACCAAAATTAAGTAAAATATATGAAATGTAAACTATAATTTATCTACAATCAACTAATAAAATGTGACTACTCTTATCAAATTGTCCAATCAGACAATTCAAACATTAATACAATTATTGTCTATACAACTTCCAATATTTTTTATATAAAGTTTATAATTTGAGGAGTACTAGACAAATAAATATATTAAATCTTAAACGAGAAACTAAGACGGATCAAAAGATAACTCTAACAAAAATTTAGTAATTAATATAACAAATAAAAAACAATGAATAAATCGAAAAAAATATTTATCGAGGGTTGAACACTTTGATACTCAATATCAATAGGTTGAACCAAACAAATGTTTCTACTTCCATAAAACAAATCACTAAATAAAATACAATATAAAATTAAATGTTGTCTACTTTACAAATAGGAAATGCTAATTATTTTTTTTAAAAAAATACAAAATTAAAATATGTAACTCGGAATGGAGACGACTAGCGAGGTGGTGCAAGCACGAGAGAATGAAAAACTGTAGGGAGGGAGAGTGGCATCAGAGAAGGAGAATGACAAGGAGGTAGGAACCACCATAGGAAGAACTATGGCCCATCAGCAAATACAATCGGTGGTGACATAACCGGCTGAGAAATGAACCTAGGAACTGATGGTGGCGAAGATAAACAAAGGAGAAAGGAGGACTGTAACAAGAACCACGAGCCATCAACCTCAGCGAAAACAAAGAGGAGACCAACACACAGAGAACAACACATAACAAGCCATCAACAAAGACTACTGATGACAACACAATCGATAGACAAATGACCTTGAACAATGCAATGATTGAACCAGTGCGAAAGAGTGAAAATGAAATATGAAAAGGTGGAAGGTGTTTAATGACAATTTCTTTTACAATCGTCATTGTTTCCCTTATGCCTTAGCTTTTAACAACTACTCTATTGTATAATTGTCGTTGTTTTCTCATTGTTCCACTTTTAATGATAACCATCATTGAAAATATCACTTTTATTTTAATAATATTGTTGCACTTTATTTGAGTAAGATGGTTTTTAGCCAACATTAACTATTGTCGTAGAAGTCTCTTTTCACATTAGTGAGATACACCCATGATATTTTTAAATAGATTGTTACCATTATATCCTTTAAATACGAGGTATAATCTTCTCTTAGAGTTAGTTCTTTACCTATAATTCTTATAAACGTTAATATATTGCGATATTCTACACTCCTCACTCAAATAACAATATGTTGCATCAAATATGTATACGACCAAACCAATTATCCTCTTCCAAAGCCCTCCCGTCATCTCTCAAAGATTTTTTCAATCATAAAGAATTGAATACATGTAGAATTAAAAGGACAAAAAAAGCTTCTCATCTACTATTCACATTAATTTCAAACTTTTTAGTAAATCATCCAGACTCAATGTAGTATTATTATGATTATTTTGGATGTTTATGACTTATCACGTGCCACTAACTTATTTCAAAGTTAAAATATTTATGAAAATATATCTATAAGAATTTCACGAGTATTTAATTATCATCAAATATACATAAAAAGAAAGGGAACTTTGAAACTTAAGTTAATAGGATAACACTCTTAGCAAGATATTTAATGAACGAAAGTAAATATTTTATCTTAATTAAATTTCAAGTGATCTTATAGAGAGTTTTAGACATAAGAAGATTTGAGTTATGATGATGTATTTTTTACTATGGAACAAAATGGTTTTAATTTTTTTTATAAAAGAATGTAAAATTGATTTTAAATTAAATTGTAAAACTATATATATATATATATATATATATATATAATAAAGAGATATAAGGTCAATTACAATACTTATTTGTTGAACATTTACTTTGACATTGTTAACATTGAGTTGAATTTTTGTCTAGAATAATGAAAGTAAATGGTATTATAAGTTCATTAAATTAAGATAAATAACATATTTTTTAAGATAACAAAAAATAGTTATTTTTACTAAATTATTTAAAGTAAAAAATTTAAACAGGTGAGTCAATTCCAAATTTTCACAGGCTGTATGAAAAAAAATGTTGTTTTTTTATTTATTTCTACTAGTATTTGAAGATTTTTCTTCATGTTAATCTAACTCAATCAAAAGATAAATAAAATTCGACAAAGAATAATTTATGCCAATAACTATTAAATTTTTTAGTTGTTGAAGACATTATATTGACTTTCAAAGTTTCTTATTTTTAACTTAGTTAGAATATATTCTTCTTAAACACGACAAAATATTTGACGCCCTTAAAAGTCTCAAAAACCAAAAATTTTGTAATTAACAAATACTCTAAGAAAGGACAAAAATTTAAAAAAAGAGTCACATTTAATACATTTAAAACCACAAAATAAGTGTAAACCTTTTTATTATTAGATTAATGGCATCACTTATGATTGGGGAACGTTGAATCTCAACATTAATAATTGCTTTTCTTTTTTATATCAAATATTTAATTATTATTACTACAGTACTCATAGAGATAGGGACACATTCCTTATAAATCTTCCCAGTACCACCCACTTGTGTTTTTTTATTCCTAGGAGTCTCCTTTTAGGATTGTTTCCTTATTTATTATTTATTTAATTTATTTTCAGATATTTATATGTTGTCTTCATCTCAATAACCACCTTCTATCTTTCTTCACTTCACTCCATTTTCCTCCTCAAGAAGACAAAAAGGTACACACTACAAAAACAAAAACAAAAAAACATGTACTTGTTTTTCCGAGTACTAACTTTTGCTACTGTGCGACTCCTTTGTCCCTGTATCCTCTAGGGTTTTCTCTGTTTTTTTTGCTGTCATTTTCATTTATGTGACTGCCATTTTGTTTTCTTTTGTGTGCTTTGGTTTCCTCATGCATTTTCTTACTGCTTTTCAGAAGCGTAACAAATTAATGGGTGTTGAAGTAGACTAACTGATGCTAAAATCAACTGTGGCGAGGTTACAGATTGTGGCATGGTAGTTCAAAAAATGTCACACGAACGTGTTAGCAACATAAATGTGGATGGTTGGTGATCCTGCCTTCATTAATTTTCTCGTGCTTTGGGTGCACTTTAAAATGTCAATGTTGGAATAGTTTGATAGTTGTATCTGTATTGCTTTGCTTATTGATCATAGATTATCTACAGTTTGTTATGTTAGTAGTTAAGAGTGTGGGTTTTGATGTGTAGCTACCAGAACTCGCTTGACTCAAATTCGGAAGCAAGCTAGATGCAAGTACCTTTTATTGGATGAAAAGAGGGGTGGCGATAGCCGCTGCAGACATTCACAAGGAAAAATAATCCGCCTGAACCAAATAAAGCATCAAGCTCGGTGTAAAAGTGAGAATGATTTGTCACAGAAAAAAACTATATCTGAGTCTGAAAATGAGCAACCAAAAGGTAGAATACTTCGATTGAGCCAGATCAAACGTCGAGCTCGGTCCAAAGACAATGCAACAGTGACAGATGGGACTGAGAAGCGTATGGATCAGACTTTGCCTTGCAACAACTTTACAGGTGAATAATAAGGAAACTAATAGTGTGAAGAGAGGGACAATTCTTGAACTTTTCACAGTTTGATTTTGAATATGTTAAGTACTTATATTATTAGTATTAGGACTTCAAGTGTGTGTTTGTGTCCTAGGAATGAGCATGATGATTAGTATATATGAAAGAAGACCACAAACCTAATGCCTTAATATTTTGGATTGAAGGTGGTGTCTTTAGTTTCTTATATGTAATGCTCATGACCACAAACCTAGTCAGTGTTGAAGAATCCTGAATTTGATGCTTGAGGGGAAGTATCAATGTGGAGGAAGCTCACATTTGAAAGGGATTATTAGGATACCAAATGTGAGTTTTTATGTTATTTAAAAGCTTAGTTTCTATGCAATAAGCATGAGAAAACTAGTTGAAGAACTTATTTGTACATCCAGTCAAATTAACTGAGTTAGAGCAGTGAGTAAGCATGTTTGCCTTTATATTGTTTTTTTGAGCAACCTAGGATTAACTGATTGCTATCATTGTTACAGATAAAGAAAATGTGATTGCATTTGCAGGGCAAGCTGTGAAGAAAAGTATCTGTCAACAGGGTAAGGGTATTCCTTCCATAAATATCATTAATATGTAGCCAGACTATGATTCCTTGACTTTGTTCTTTCTATCACGGTTACTAATGGAAGGAACATTGGTTGATGCTTCATACTATGTAGTATTATAGGCTATTTATAGTTCTCTTCAGTCATGTAACTCCTCAATTCACACGGTAAAATTTTACTGCATAAGTCAGCATCAAACTAATATATAATGTGCACTTATTAGTCTTTAGTTTTTTTTAATGAGCTTTATTTTCAAGATGATAAATAGGTTGAAGCAGCATCTGGAAAATGTCAAGACAACAGCCAGCCTGATGCTGACTTGATTTTTATGTTACTGTAATTATATATCATTATCTTTCAAAATAGTAATTGATATTGATTTTCATTCTATCTGGATTTATCTTCCAGATTCCAATCCTTCTGTTCAAGGTGTTCCTGCACATAACTTATACAGAGGAGCCTGTCAACTGTCTGATGGTACTTTTCATATAGATTCTGTATAATGTACATGTAAACAAAATTATAAATTTGGTTTCAAACGAACTTCATAAAAAAATTATGTTAAGAATTGGATGAGCTATGCTCTTCTTACCTAATGTACAAAGAGTAAGCTGCAATCAATTGCATTTGTACTTTAGTTTCTTATTGTACTTGTCATCATCTTATGCAAAATAGTAGGTCATGAATGTCTGTATGTTTCTAATTTTTAACTTAGTGTAACTGTTATATATGTACTAAGATTGACACTTTCTTGGGTATTTACACACTGGCAGTTTTGGTTGGACTACAATCAATAAATAATCTTTCATCAATTTGCTGCAGTATTGTGGGATGTTGAAAATCTTAAGGAACTTCAACGTACTGCAAGGAGGTTAAGGATATTCAAGACTAAAAAGCTTAGACAACAATTACGGACGGAGTGTAAACAAAATCTTTCCAATGCAAGTTTGCATGTGATAACAGGTATGACCAAAGCACAATAGTCCATGAAATGTAATGATTTGTTTTCATGTTCACACGAGCCACCTGAAACTGGTGGATTTATTATGGTGGGAAAATTGCAAGGTATGGGACTTGAGTCCAACATCGTAATATAGGATTCTTGTGTGTTGTTTATAAGGGCTTGGGCTCTCCCATTAGAACGGATATCCTTTGTGGTGTGGCTTTCCTAGGGTTCTTTCCGAAGTTTCTTATCAAGTGGCTCGGATGATGATAGTGCTGCAATGTTTGCCACCGTATCCTCTTTCCTTAGGTACCATCACTTTATATTGATCCATTGTGTCACCAAAAGTTTGTCTCTCTTGTTGAACCACCAAAGAAAAAACACTATTAATGATGACAATGCATCCATCAACATGATTTGTGAGTTTATAATAGAATAACTGTCATTCAGTCCTCTAAGAAACTTGATAACCTAATCTTGAGTTTTATACGTAGTAATAGTGACAAAAGCCCTGCAAGAACATTTGGTTTCACAACCACAAACTGGTAAAGGGTGAAAAATGTCCATCTCATCCCAAAGGATTTTCATTTCAGTTGAATAGTCAGTAAAATTTAACTCTCCTTGTTTGAGAGATGATAGTGTCTTGAAGAATATTCAAGATCTGACAAAATACTTGAGGTTGTATCTCTCCATATAGCACTTTGTGTAATCAATGAGATTGAATGAGTCATGATACAACCATCATGGTGGCTCTCTCCCAAGCTGGGTATAGAGCACAAGTGCAAGGAGAGGCTCAGCAATGAAGCAGAACTTGTTTTTGAAAACAAGACCATAGGAAAAGATCGTCATCACAGATGGTAATTTGGTCCATCAAGAACAAGAGAAACAATAACCAATGGAGGGTTTTCTAGACAAAGGTTCTTCTTAAGCAGAAGAATATATAAAACTTTTATACACATACGTCTTTTTCCCTCCGTTCTACCTTTTTTAATATGGTATGAGTGCTATTAAACTCAAAGCTCTAGTTGCTATATTCAATAATGATCGTTGATCCTTCTCAAGATCCCACCTCACTCACTATTCTACACCTCATTATTCTGCTACGTTCCTCAATATATACACAAAAGAGGGACTGCCTATTCTAATAGAATTGGCTACAAAATGACCAATGGATTGCATTATAATTGTACAAAAGAAAAGATTGTATGGAAAAATAAAAAAAATAAAAACCTTCAAATGATTGTTAGTTGTATTATGAAGCTCGGACATGCTTCTTTAATGGTATGTCTCAGTGTCCAATATGTATTGGATACCGATATTCATATCACACATACTGAACACTCTGCTGAAGTGTCTGATTTAAAAACGTGTTTTGGGTCTTTGACACGTCCAACTCAATGTTTATGAGGCCAAACATGAATTTGTAAGTTGAAAACTAAGAAACTTATTGTGTAAATTTCTATTATAATTATAGAAATAAGGAGCATATCCTATATAATCAGGAATTATTTATATTATATATGTTTAGATTTTTATAATATAGAAACAAGGAGAAAATCCTATATACGTTTATATTAAATATTTAGCATATTTATACTTTTTTTGGGTCTTTGACACGTTTGACACAACCTTAATGAAGGCAAGCACGGCTTTTTTCTTTTACAATTTAAAAGTTAAAAAACTTATTATAAATTTTTATTATATTGATAGAATTAAGGAGCAGATCTTATATAATCATGAATATTTATATTATATATATTATTAGTATTTTTATTAATTCTTGTCTATGAAATTCTTTGAAGTTGTTAATTTATCTTTGGGTGAATCTCAACCTGATTGCCTTTTTCAATGGCAATGGTGAAGAAGGGGCGAAATGTCTTAAATGAATTAGATCCTTTTTCACTTTTTGGACCTTAGATATAGATTAGATTACTTTTTGTATTGGGTAACAACATATTCAGATTGTTATATTTGACTAACTTTTTTTTATAGATAATTTTGAAACAAATCTCAATTGTCAATTTAAAATATTAATGATGTTTAATAAACTAAAGTTTGATGTCGGATGCCCATGTTACATAGTTTGTGCCATCTAACTTGTCAATGGACAAGTGTACATTCACATAATTGGTGTATATTGAGGGATCAAAAGATGAGCCACCAACAGAGGTGTTTGTAGACGACGCCATGGAGAGGGAGAAACCCTAAAGTGCTCCGATTGACACAACGACCATAGATCCAGAAAGAGGGCGAGAAGGCGATCATGACGGTCCTGATCAACGACAGAACTCTCCGGCGACGCGCCGACACGCGCGGCGGGAAGCGGCAGCGTCGGCGACTGTTGCAGCAGCGCGTGGAGGTGTGTGGGTGGTCTGTTCGCCGCGATCTTTGCACCACGGTGGTTGTCGGTCGATTCTAGAACTCCGGCGGCAGCGGCAGCGGCAGCGGCGATGATGTGTGCCGGAGATCGTGGAGTTGGCTTGAACTAATCCTAAGCTCTGATACCATGTGAGAAATAGAGAATATTGGGAGAAATCTCCCTTGTGTCTTTTGCATACACATAGGGTAGTTTATTTATAATGTAAGATATGGGTCAAGGCCTTTAACACAGAATGGGCTAAGCCCAATTAACATAAACACACATCTTAACATCTAACAGCTGGGATAAACTTTAACCCATGGTTCTAATACTATGTTAGGAAGGCATATACACCTTGAGCGTATGACTAGACATTAATGGGTGGTCCGGTAGCAGGTGGAACAATAGACTTAACAAACAACAAATTTAGCTAGGATTGACTCTAATACCTTGTTAAGAAGGCATATACATCTTCAACTTGAGATTAGACATTAATGGATTGTCCAATATTGAGTGGAACAATAGACCTAACAAACAACAAATTTTGCTAGGATAGACTCTAACTAATGACTCTGATAACATGTTAAGAAATAAACTTTAAGTTTAACTCAACCCTACAAAACCGGTTAGTAAGGTAAAGTTTGTATCCACTTATATAATCTAAATTAACCAGCTTTATCTCTAGTCAATATGAGATTTCTAACAAATATTAAGCAGAAAAAAATCCTGCATTAGGTGAGACAAAATCTCCGAAAGAGTTGTTTAGGTACCACTAGAGAAGGACAAGAGTTCAACAATTTTGAGATTGTTTGTTCTGTGATGGTTGGAATCAAGAGATTGTGATATATTTCATTTCACATTATGTATAATGTTATTCCTCTGAGAACAAATTGAATGTCCGTACTGGTGCACAGATGCAACGCAAGTAATAATCTTCGTGTCCTTTCTGGCAGATCACACATGATTTTGTTATTTTCAGATTAATATGTTCATCAAAATATTTTTATCTCAGAAGTTACAAATTATTCATTCGAGTATCAGATCCACACGTATCTAACAACTTAATGCATCAGCAGCAAACTCAGAAGCACCAAAGGAATTTATACCTATGAAAAGATTACGCTTAACTGAGTTGAGACGTGAAGCTCGTTTAGGGAATCACTTTCCTGCATTGCAAGGACTGCCAAGAAACTAGAGGTATATTACTCCTTCTGATTGGATGAAAAGTCAGTAATTTAATCTCATGACAGGAAAACATTCTTGAAGTTCAGTTTTGTTTTTGAAAAAATGGGTCCATGAGTGGTTTATATCTAATTGTTGACCATTACATAGCTATAGAAGGTATTTGCAATCTTATGCATGAGGCTGGTTTTGTATTTTTTTGTTCTCCATGCCTAAAATTCACTCCTAGATAAATGTGTCTGCAAACAAAAATCTATATTGATATCTCCTTGAATAGATTAGTTGTAATACTCTTTGACTATATATGCATGAACATCATTACTTTGAATGTAGGTGTTGTTGATGTTGGATGAGGTATTGCAAGCTTTGATGGGGAGACCAGCATTCTGTTTTTTTGTTTGCTTGTACAGAATGACTTGGTAGTAAGCATTTTAGAGGGCTATAAAATTTATACGAGAACGAATCCTTACAAGACTAATATGAACTTGTTCTTTATGTATGAACATCCCATGACAAACTTTTGATTGACTCTATTTGGCTGAAAGAAGACCCTGATTAGTTCGTATGAATGTTAAAGAAAAATAGCTATTTTTGTCACAAGCTTCAAAGATTGTGCTATTGCAAACCATAGCGTATTACAATTCCTCCTATTACTAAGGGTAGTGTCTACTTGCCCTTTAACACTGTTTATTCATGAAAAGGTACTTCTAGTTTTATTTTTTATATTTGTAGGTACCTATAAATATTTTTATGTATACTTTTTTTTTTTTAATTTTAAATGAAATTATTTACAAATATGAACTTAGCTAAATAAATTGTATTAAAATATAAATTTAAAAAATAACTCCAATTTCATAAATTTAAATAAAGATATTAAAAATATACGAAACAAATTTTTAAACAACTTTTTTTGTGATTAATACTTTTTAACTAATATTTGTATAAAATTTACTTTTTAACTGTTTTTTTGTTATTCCTCTACCAGTGTAAAGAGCAAATAAGTATATGACAATTTAAGTGTATAAAGATAGTTACGGTGGACGATCATAGGTTGGAGTATTTTGGCAGATACTCCTGTTGTAACTGAAATAAAAAATAACATAAAAAACTTGGAAAAAATAACATAAAAACTTGAAAAGAAAATTATAAAAGAGTGCTTTGATTTGATTCCTAACCTCAAATCTAAAACATCCCGAATTTAATATTAACATGAAATAAAGACTGAGTAAAATTTCACTTTTTTAACTTAATAGAGTAATTTAGGTTCTAAAATTAATACATTAATTTAAAAGTTTAACATTTCTGAAAATTTGTGTTAATGATACACTATTTCTGTAAATTTTACTCTTTTTAAGTTTATTTAGTATTTCTATTTACGAGTTGTACAGGAATACTAGAACAGACTTCATACGTACACAGCCATTCTACTAAATTTTTAGAACAATTAGTATTTATGTCTCTTCATTCTTTCTATTTTAATTTATTGACCATAAACGTTCCAAATTTAGTTAGAAATTATGAAAAATCCTTTTTATATCTTAATCATCCTTACAAATATTAATAATCAACCTATAAACTTGTTAAATATTAAATAGTTATTCATTTTTTCCTAACACAAAATTGGACTGCATATTGATTATGATTATTTTTTACATTGACTGGTAATGAATAATTATTCTCCCAATAAAAGTAGTTTAGCAGAAAAAATCGACCCCGTACCAGAGGCTCAGACCAACCCGAACCAGAGGCTCCGACCAACCCGAACCGATTATCAGGTTCGGCGTGGAAACTATTTGATGCAACGCCTGCACTTCGCGCAAATTACAATCATAATCACGTTTTCTTCTTCTCTCTCTCTATCGGCGTTTAGAGAGAGAACATCGCCGCCGGAAACTACTCCGGCGATAACATGACCTCCGATTCCTTCCGTCCAGCAGACCTTTGATGCGCCGATCGACGGCCCGTACTCGTGCCGGTTCGAATCGCAACGACGAAATGGATCCGATCAAAACACGCTCTACCAACCTCTTCGCTCGCAACCCTAAGTCCGCGCCATCGCGTTCCCTCTCTTCCGTCCTCCTCCTCATTCTCGCGCTCTCGTTCCTCTTCCTCCTCTCCTACTGCGCGTTCTCCCACTCTGAAAGTAGTTTCCGGTACCGGATCATCGTCGACGGCGGGAGCACCGGCACCCGCGTGCACGTGTTTAAGTACCGGTCGGTCAGGGCATTGCATTTCGGGAAGGAGGGTTTGGCCTCGATGCGCGTTAACCCGGGGCTGTCGGCGTTCTCGGAGGATCCGGATGGGGCGGGCGGGTCGGTATCGGAGCTGGTGGAATTCGCGAAAGGGCGGATCCCGAGGGTTTGTTGGGGGGAGACGGAGATTCGGTTGATGGCAACGGCAGGGTTGAGAATGCTGGACGCGGAGGTGCAGGAAAGGATTCTGGAATCGTGTAGGAAGGTTTTACGTAACTCTGGGTTCAAGTTTATGGACCATTGGGCTTCTGTTATAACAGGTTCTCTTTCTTCCAATTTCTCTCTTTCTCTCTCTCTCTCTCTCTCTCTCTCTCTCTCTCTCTCTGGTTGAGACAACATCTCAATTAAGACTACTGTGAGTGACTATGTTCTCTTTTTGAATAATTAATGCAGATGTGTATTCAACTGCATCTATCTCGTTCTCATTGTGTTCGCGTGTGTGTGTGTGTGCAAATCAACTCTTTACGTGTATTGTAGTTGTAATATTTTCGTCGATAGTGCCGCGCTGCTTTTCTTTTGTTTTTACTGTTTTCAGATATTTATATGGGAAATGTTGAGAATGAGAGAGTAATTTTTTTCATACAAGTATATGTAGTTGCGAGATGATGGGAATGTAAATAGATTTTTTGACTTCGCCTGCCTGAGAAATTTTACCCTGAATGAAGTAAAAGTGTGGGAATATGGTGTTCTTGTTTGTAGTTGGACTGGTGCTGAGTTGTTAATTTGAATGTTTTATGAAAGGGATGGTGATGGAACTTTGCACATGGGAGCTTTGTTGATGGAATGGCTCTTTGTTAGTGTGTGAGAGAGGGGGTTTGATGACTTGAAGCAGAAGGATCCTTATGCTCGTGTGTCGTGTTTTTTTCTTTCTCTCCTGTTTTGTGGATTTTTTAAGCTTTTCAATTTCAATACTGTTCTTCCTCTTCCTTAGTATATAGACAGGGGAAATAATTGTAGGTAATGAACACACATGTTTTCGGACTTCAGGGTTTGATGGAATTTCTAAAAGTTTTGGCTTGTTGTTTGTTCTGGCGTTGGATCTTTATGATGAAATCCCCCCAGTGTTCATAACATCTGCATGAAATTGAGTGGTGATATGATGTCTCAAGATTTATAACGTAGTGAACCAATTATCACATCATCTCTTTTACTCATTTGCTTTTATGTTTTCAAATCCTAGTTTGACTTTCAATAATGCCAATGTGTTCTTGTTAGAAAATTGTAAAGTAAATTTGTTTTGTCCACCTCCTTAATTTTGTGATGCTTTCTTAGTTTTTTGTAGAACCACTGTTATTTCATTACATATTTGTTGGCTTCTTATGGTATTATTCTGGTTGTACAGGTTCTGATGAAGGAGTTTATGCTTGGATTGTTGCTAATTATGCACTTGGCACTCTTGGAGGTGATCCTTTGGATACAACTGGGATTGTTGAACTTGGTGGTGCTTCTGCTCAGGTAGAACTTCATGGTTTCTGATTATTTGATATTCCAAAATCTTATTTTTAGGATCCAAAATATTTTTACAGTTAAATTTATATAATTTGACTGCAATTATTTGGTGAGTTTTGAAGCCAAAATATTAGAAAGAAAGCTCCACCTTTCTGGTTAGGCTCATACATACTGTTGGAAATATGACAAATGGATTTGTATTTTACTTTAGGTGACCTTTGTATCAAGAGAACCGGTGCTCCCTTCTTTCTCAAGAACTGTTAAATTTGGGAACATCACTTACAAGCTTTACAGCCGCAGCTTTCTTCATTTTGGCCTGGTGACTGTTTTATCTCTCTGTCATGTTCTATAGTCATGATAGCATGTGTATATCTGTCAATATTCTGCATCCTAAATCACTCAAGTAATTTTACACAAACAAAAATGGTAAGCTCAAATTTTGGTTCTATTGCTTGACTTTTCAATTAGTCCCTAAATGGAAAAGTCTACATTTCAATGAAACGATTTGTACTGTTTGAAAAATCTTGCTTTGAATAATGTTTTGATCATTCAAATGTTTGACAAAGCAGCAATTTTCTAAGTATGATAATGATAGGGACTGATTACTAACATATTTTCACGTAGGGGACAGGTAATAAAATGGTAATTTTGTTTCGACCAAACTTTATTTCCTTAATGATTTTTATTGGTCCCTTTTAATTGAATGCGATTCTCTTTGCCGTCACATGGCTAATACTGTGTTCTATTTCTATGCATTTGGAATGATACCAGTGATTTACACTTTCTCATAACATCTCATTCTGCAGAATGCTGCTCATGACTCATGGAAAGAAGGACTTGTATCAGGAAAATTCGGTTTGGGTAATTATATGGGTCACATTGTTGTACTTTTATATGGCATCTTGAAACTTAATTACCATACTCTATTATTGTATGATGGTTGGCAGTGATTTTTACAGTTTTGAACTTTGATGCATGAAATTCTTCTATGACATGTATACAAACTATCAGTAGTAATGTTTTTCTTACTCAAACCTACAAAACCAGTTTTGAAATTGTAGTAAATTTTTCTAACTTTTTTGGGATGAAATTACCTAAGGTTGAAAATTACTTAAACTAGGATAGTGATATTTAGCCAATTCTAAGTTCATACTGGACTATTTTCTCATCACCTTTTTGTTTTTTCAATTAATCCTGAAATTTCACTAACTATTTACAGTCATTCAGTAGAGATAGTGGCTTCAGATGGTAATATTATTTGGTATTGATTCTTTATTGTCCTCAGTGCAGCTTCTCAATCTCCTCAAGAAAGGTTGCAGATAGATCCTTGTACTCCTACTGGGTACTCTTACAGTGCTGAGTCATTGAAGTTGCCTCCTAGCTCAGAGATTGAAAAGGTCCGTTATCTTTCCACTGTCCAAACTATGGGGAACTTCTCAGCATGCAGAACGGCAGCACTTATGTTGCTACAAAAAGGGAAAGGTCATATGTTCAATAATTTTGTACTGTTAAGATTCCCTTTAAAATGAAATTTTCTTCAGTGTTGTTTTGTATTAAAGTTGGTTATTTTATTAATTATGCAGAATCATGCTCCCATCAACATTGTGACATGGGATCAACTTTCATACCATATCTTCGGGGGAATTTTCTGGCCACAGAAAATTTCTATCACACATCAAAGGTTCTTTTTATACTTAAATGCTTCTTTTACTGTTTTCCAGTATAATTCAATTTTGTTATTGTCTTAAAGCGATGCATTAGAGAAAGGAGATAGCAGTAATGAACTGTAACTCCTATTATTTCTCAGATTTCTGACATGCAGCATGGTCTGTTATAGTTTTACTATTTTAATTATCCATATGTCGTTATGAGCACTAATTCCTGCATCTTTATGTCAGTTTTTTGGATTGC